CAAAGTCTCGTCCCCTCACCAGAGGTGCGCAGCACCGAGAGTGAACTGCCAGCTGTTCAGAACACAGGGCTGGCCCACAAACATTTTGGCACCTGATGTGGGGAGCTCAAATGATGCCCCCATGCCCCCTCGCTTGGGCCAAAACTTTGAAAGGTCTCAGTTCTGCCTCCTTCCTCCAGCACAGCACTCCACCATCTCTGTGCATCTAGAACAGATAGATACATATGCCCCAGCAGCAGACACAATTTTCTACACTCTGGGTCCTAGTGGTGCCTCCCCCCTCTCCTCCACAGTCTGGCACCTGAGGCGGCACCTCAGTTCACCTCATGGTAAAGCCAGCCCTGTCAGAACAGCTGGCAATTTATTCTAGGCACCAGGGGGCAAAGACATCACACTCTCCCGCTGCCACCAGGCCAATTAGGCAGAGGAGCAAGGAAGTGTCCTGGACCTGTTCCTTCCGCCCAAGACCCCGTCCCTTCCATGGTGGCTCGGGGCCACTTCAAAAATGTGTGAAGGGGCCCTTTAAAAATTCTTGCCCACCCCTGTTCCAGACAGATCACAACAGAGGGTTTTGCTGTGGCCACAGGTGGAGTGCAGCTGGGAGATGGTGACGGCAGTGCTTAGCAGCCAGCAAGCAGCCTCACTAAGCTAGAGGAAAGCAGGATTGTGTTCCCAGCATGCCCTTAGGACTCTACTCCAAATTAGCTACATTTAAAAAATTCTGCTCACTAGCTCACTTAGGAAGCGTCATTTTTTTCTCCATCTAGTTGAAGACCGTCAAGTAGGTTTTATACCAGCGCAGTTAAATGTTCCTGGTTCCTTGCAACGCTAATTTGCAAGACTGAGGCTCAGATACTGCATAGGGATCCAGCTGAGTGGGTCACACCTGCAAGGAGTCCCGCAGAAGACACAGTCTACACTACACTTTCCCGTCGATCTAAGATACGAAACTTCAGCAAGACGAATAGTGTAGCTGAAATCGATGTATTACTCACTGCAGTGTCTTCCATGCGGTAAGGTCGGCGGCTGATGTTCTCCCATCACCTCCACCTCTAGACTCTCTTCTTGTCCTGATGGAGCACTGGAGTTGACAGGCGAGTGTGCAGAGGTCAATTTATCATGCCTAATCAGACACGATAAATCGGGTGCCAGTGGATCGATCACTGGAGCGTGGATCCACCATGTAGTGGAGACAAGCCCTCAGTGCCTGCACTGTGGAGCAGGACCCTGAGAGGGCAAGATCAATGATCAGAATGCTGAACGACCTCTCAGAAATGCTGTCCAGAGCCACCAAACCCTATTCGGCATCCCCAAACATAAGCCCTGTCAGTCTGGCAGAGGGTCTCTTTGAAATCCCAATTACACATAATCCATGGGCATCTAAAGTGAATGTACCCCAGGGCGGGTGTTTGAACAGGCTTCCTCTGGACTCTGGGGAAGTGCAAGCCAGGCGTTCTTCTTCACACAGCATGTAGTCAACCTGTGGAACTCCTTGCCAGAGGAGGCTGTGAAGGCTAGGACTATAATAGAGTATAAAGAGAAGCTAGATAATTTCATGGAGGTTAGGTCCATAAAAGGCTATTAGCCAGGGGATAAAATGGTGTCCTTGGCCTCTGTTTGTCAGAGGCTGGAGAGGGATGGCAGGAGACAAATCGCTTGATCATTGTCTTCGGTCCACCCTCTCTGAGGCACCTGGTGCTGGCCACTGTCGGCAGACAGGATACTGGGCTAGATGGACCTTTGGTACTGGATATGACCAGTACGGCCGTTCTTATGTTCTTATGCATGCTCACAGGCGAGCAGTCACTGCTGGCACTAGAGTCAATTTTGTCTGCAGCCAGGGATGTCAGCTATAGAACACGACCAATATCAAATGTGATTTGGTAGGGAAAGTTCTGTCTGCAGCCAGGGATGTCAGCTGTAGAACACGGCCAATATCAAATGTGATTTGGTAGGGAAGGGTACACCTGGGGGAGATTTTCCACCTTCCCCCATCCTTATGTTGGCATTCACTTCACAGTGCTCACTGCTCAGTGGGGTGCGGAGATGCTGTGTGCTGTCAAACTCCAGGAGCTAGTAAAAATGCTTGTGACCACACAATCACATTGCAGTGTTTTCTATCACAGCCCATGACACTACCATGTTCAACAGAGCTTCTGCTGTATCTTCACCCATTGCAACAGGGTGTAACTTCTGCCCCCCTTCTCTGTCGTCTTAAATAATAGAATAGTCAACAAACCACGGCTGCAACACTCATGTACACACCTGCTATATGCCCTGGTACTCCCCAATGCTGTGGTATGTTCTGATAAGGGAGCTCAGAGGTGATCGTGGGCTTTAATAGCCTACAGTTCTGTGTTTCTCAAGCCTTTCAGCTTGGCAACCCCTTATTCGAAGTAAAAAATATTCATTCCCCCATTACAGTCACTAGAAGAGCCAAAGTCTCAGAGGAGTCGCCGTGGTAAATCTGTAACTTTAAAAACAATGCGTCGTCCTGTGGCACCTTAGAGACTAACAAAACTATAAATAGTATCGTGAGCTTTCATGGGCAAAACCCACTTCTTCAGATAAGCTTGAGTGGACAGGAAGAGTCAAGACATCATGCATCAGCCATAACGATGAGCTGCCTGTATAATCTCCATGTGCGTGTGTGTTTCGAGAGGTTGACAGAGACTACTTGCCTGGTCTATAGTACTGGTCTTTCTCTGCTGTAAGGAAGACTATTATGGACTGAACTATCGAGGGCCACTACTGCCAAGGATATTTTTTCTCATAAGGGCTTGTAGCAAGGTAAAGCACTCAGGGTATGTCTACACTACAGCGCTAATTCGAACTAACTTAGTTCGAATTAGTTAATTCGAACTAAGCTAATTCGAACTAACGCATCCAGACTAAAAAACTAGTTCGAATTAGCATTTTGCTAATTCGAACTAGCATGTCCACATGAAGTGGACGCTGAACCGGAGTTAAGGATGGCCGGAAGCAGTGCCAGCAGGAAGCAGTGCCGGCAGGGCATCAGATGAGGACTTAGAGCGTGGAGCTGCTGCCTCAGGCTAGCCGAGGGCTGTGCTTAAAGGGACCCGACCCCCACCCCAGACAGACAGTTCTCAGGGGTGCCCTGCTTGCAAGGCAGTCCTGGCTTGGAGTGCCCTGAGAGCCCACACTGGCCACATCACAGCACTCGGCCATCAGACTGGCTGCACTTGCCGCAGGCTGCCATCTGGGGAGAGGGGGCAATTGGGGGGCTG